TTCCTGGGATTCACTTGGTAGCCCAGGCTGGCCTCGAACTCACAGAGATCCGCCTGGCTCTGCCTCCCGAGTGCTGGGATTAAAGGCATGCGCCACCACCACCCAGCCTCCTTTTTTGTTTTTTAAGACAGGGTTTCTCTGTAAAACAGTCCTGGCTGTCCTGGAACTCACTCTATAGACCATGCTGGCCTCGAACTCACAGAGATCCACCCGCCTCTGCCTCCCAAGTGCTGGGATTAAAGGCGTGAGCCACCACCACCCGGTTTAGTTACAGTTTTGATTGCTGTGATGAAACACCGTGACCAAAAGCAAAGTTGGGCAAGAAAATATTTGATTTAACACTTCCACATCATAGTGCATTGATTCACATGCACTGACTATGCTTCTGATTGGCTGGTGTCACCTTCCCCTCCCTCGCCACTATCAGTCATTGAAGGAAGTCAGGACAGGAACTCAAACAGGGCAGGAACATGGAGGCAGGAGCTGATGCAGAGGCCATGAGGATGTTGCTTACTGGTTTACTCCCATGGCTTGCTCAGTCTACTTTCTTGTAAAATTCAGGACCACCTGTCCAAAGGTGGCCCCACCCACATCAATCACTAATTAAGAAAATACCTTACAGGATGGCCCACAGCCCGATCTTATAGAGGAATTTTCTCAGTTGAGGCATCTTTGATGACTCTAGTTTATGTCAGGTTGACATAAAACCACCAGGACAGCATCTTTAAACATAATTTGCCAGTGTCCTGCTAAATTAAGAAAACTTAAATCCCAAAGGGCCTCAGTAGATTTTAAGTGATCTTGGAGTAAATTTAGTTAGAAGTACACACTTAACCATTCAAAACAGACAGAATGTATAATTTGTCAAAACTCACAAGTAGTAATTTCATTGGTACAAACTGTGATCACTACAGTAGTGCTCCTTGGTTTATTCTAAGACCCATCCACCCCAGTGGAGTCCTGAAACCACAGATAATACCAGATGCTGGGCATACATCTATGACAAAGGTTTTCAGTAAGAAATTAATGACAATTGTGGCAAATGCTGACTAATCTGCCATGCCAGTCATACATACAGAGTGAATATACTGGACAGAAGGTTGATTCATGTCCCAGACAGGACACTGTGAGATTTCATTATGCTACCAAGAACTGTAATTTCAAAATAATTTCAAAGTAAGTATTTTTGTAATTTTCCATTCACATTTTCAGAAGGAAGTTGATCAGTGGTAAAGTTGGCATAATGAAAGGATATGGTGAAACTACTGTATTGACTAAAGTTGGGTGCTTGCTTAATAGATTTTCCTTTTGATGATAGTCACCTATTAACTATGGCCTAAATTCAGTCACCCTCCACATGGTCAAAGAAAGAGTTGTGTAAACTCTGGGGTTATTTCAGTCTCTCCAACTGCCTCACATGTCCGGACATAAGAACCTGAAATTGAGCCAGTCTTTGAAGAGCAGTAGGCCACTGATAGTGGTGGGGGAGGGGGAGGTGACCCCAGCCAATCAGAAGCACAGTCAGTGCACGTGAAACAATGCACTTCCGATGAGGGTGTGGCCTGGAAAACGGCTTTTTGACAAAACTGTCATTTGATGGGTCAGCTATGGACAGACATGGCACTTCTGCTGTCTTCAAAATAATGTCACCAGACCCCTTTCCTGTTCTCTGCATTCCCGAAAGATCTAGTCCCTAATCTAGGCTCAAGCTTTTCCTCGGCCTTGGAGAATAGAGGTATGTGGGAACAGCAGAGCTGGAGGGGAACCATCCAGTATCCTAGCTGATAGATGTCAGAAATGAGTGGTGCTCGAGTCAGTGGCGATATTTCTCCAGCCTTTTAGTTCAAAGTCTGCAGGCTTGAATGGGACCCATTCTGTTTGCCTTGCGTGTTCTGTATTTCCAGCTTGCCCTGTTTATTTACTTCTCATTCCTTTTTCATCGGTCAAGTAGTGAGTGCCAACCGTGTGAAGGTGCTGGAAAGATGCCGTGGAATCAATAGAGACTAATTGATTCCTGTGATCGCTAAAATGGGAGCTTACAGTTCAGAGGGAGACAATATGAACAGGCCAAGAGGATATTGACCTATTGGTTTATGGCACTAAAACCAGTAAGAGCTCAGAAGAAGTGTTTCCAGATAGAGTGGTCAAGCAAGCTTTTATGACACCATTCCTTTCGATCTTTCTGTTTTCTGTTTAAAGATGACTACATTGTAGATGAAAAGTTGAGCTTAATCTGAAAAACTAGTAGGAAATCCTACAAGAGATGATTAGGTAAACAATGGGTGTGACTAATCCTGATTTCTCCGCAACCTTCATGTCTTGGTGCTGATATGTTTTCCTAAAACAGTGAAAGGTAGATTCTGATTTATCCAAAAAATGCTTGTGGTATCTTTGCATCCTCACTTGCTCTTTTGTTTGGGAGGGGTTCTCATTCCTGGTTGTGTTTCCACAGTGCTTACACTTACACTGTGTTTGACTTCGATAGAACTGGCCAAGCAATGTGTACAAAGGACCGTCCACAAGCACTCAAAATGATAGGATTAAACAACTCTCCTCTGTAGGTTATAACATCCCCAAAGTGTCCGGTTCTTTGTTTGGGGTTTTTTGTTTTTGTTTTTTGAGACAGGGTTTCTCTGTGTCATGATGGCCATCCTGGAACTTGCTCTGCAGACCAGGCTGGCCTTGAGCTCAGAAATCTACCTGCCTCTGCCTCCTGAGTGTTGGGATCAAAGGAACCACCACTGCCTGGCAACACAAATCCCAGTGCTTGAGAGGAAGAAGCAGGTAAACCTCTGAGTTCAAGGCCAGCCTGGTCTATACAGTGAGTTCCAAGGCAACCAGTAAATTCATAAATTGTTATGACAGTGTGGGTGTGTCTATGGAAAGTGAATATCTCTGCCACTGTCATTTACTAATGCTGCAGAACTTACAGCAGAAAGATGCTTCTGAAATGGAAAGTTTCTATTTTATTAGGAAGACTCCTAAGAAAAACTCCCAGCTATTTAGTTTAGATAGCCTTGCCTTTTAAGCTTCTGAACAAATTATCTTCCATGCGTGTTGGCGCCCTCCTGTGATCCCTAGCATTTGGGAAGTGGAGGCAGGAGGAGGAGGAGATCAAGGCCAGCCTCAACTACAGATGAAGTCTGAGGCTGGCCTGTGCTACATGAGTCCATTCTGCCTGTCTCATATACACAATAAATCTGGTTTCACTTTCACTTTCTTCTTTTTAATCTCAAAATGTATTTGCTTTTTTTTGCTTAGTAATTATAACAGAAAACTGTGCCAAGTCCTCAAACCACATTATTTAGAACAACAGAATCTTAGCATGCTTGTATGTGTGTGTGTGTGGGGGGGGGTGTACTTGGTGTGGATGTACGTATGTGGAGGCCAGAGGCTGATGCCAAATATCCTTTCTTGATGAGTCTCAGTGTTTATTGTCAGGGCAGGATCACTCACGAAGATGATTGATTTGGCAGACTGGCAGGCCAGTGAGCTTGAGGAAGCGCCACATACCCAGTGCTCACACCACTTTTATCTTTTTTGGGGATCTGAACCCTGGTCTCTATGCTTGTGCCATCTCCCCAGCCTCTTAGTCTAGGTTTCTAGTAAATAAAAAGAAATTAAGTGCAGGAGATTGGAATGTTGGTTCAATATGGTCAAAATACATTTTTTTTTGTAGCTGGAAAGATGGCTCAGTGGTTAAGAATGCTTGCTACTCCCAGCACTTGGGAGGCAGAGGCAGGCAGATCTCTGTGAGTTTGAGGCCAACCTGGTCTACAAATTGAGTTCCAGGACAGCTAAGACTGTTACACAGAGAAATTCTGTCTCCAAAAAAACAAAACAACAAGAAAAACAAGAATGCTTACTACCCTTCTTGATGACCAAGGTTCAGTTCCCAGCTGCCTGCAACTCCAGCTCCAGAGGATCTGACACAATCTTCTAGCCTGCATGGTAACCATAATACATGTGGCATATAAACAGACACACACACACACACACACACACACACACACACACACACACACACACACAAATTTAAGTTAAAAAAAAACTTTAAAAGTACACTGTATAAAATTCTCTAGACTTAAAAATAACGTCTTTTAAGAGAGCATTAAGTGGCCAGGAGTGGTAGTACAAGCCTTTAATGCCAGCACAGAGTCAGGCGACTCTGTGAGTTCAAGGGCAGCCTGGTCTACATAGTGAGTTCCAGAACTACATAAAGAAACTCTGGTCTCAAAAATTTAAAAAACAGGGGTTAGAGAGATGGCTGGGAGGTTAAGAGCACTGCCTGCTCTTCCAGAGGTCCTGAGTTCAGTTCCCAGCAACCACATGGTGGCTCATAATCATCTATAATGAGATCTGGTGTCCTCTTCTGGCCTGGAGGCAAACATGCAGGTGGAACACTGTACATGATAAATAAATACATCTTTTTTTAAAATTCAAAAAATGAGAGACTATTAAGTGCATTCTCACAGGCAGATAGTTATCCAATACTTCTAAAACTTCAAAGATGGAATATTCATCTTTACATTGTTTGTCTTTGCCTCCCCATAATTGCCAGTCACTGGACCTAGTTGATCCTTCTGGAAAAACAAAAATAAATCTAATGAACTTCCTATGCAGTACTGAAACTTACACAAAAGTGTCTATAATGTGAATATGAGAATATAATATTAGCAAGGTTGGAGGGGTTCATATCAATGTTCAAAGTATACTAAAACTAAACAAATCATTCCTTATTTGTATAAAATTAAATTTTAATTTATAGATCATTCTATACATTTCTAAAGATTTTTGTGTGTGTGTGTGTGTGTGTGTGTGTGTGTGTGTGTGTGTGTACACGTGTGTTTATGAGTCTATGTACACATGCTTGTGTTTTTTTCTGTGTGAGAGCAGAAGCCAGAAGGGGACATCACATATCTTCTATCACTCTGCCTATTCTTTTGAGGCAAGATTTCTCCCTGAACCTGTGGTTCATCTTTTCTCACCTAGATTGGAAGCCAGCAAGCCCCAGCAATCCCCCTATCTCCTCTCACTTAGAGCTGGGGTTACAGGCGTGTGCTGGACTCCTGGATTATGTGGGTGCTGGGATATGAACGGTGGTCTTCATGATTTCTCAGCAAGTGCTCTTAACCACTGAGCCATCTCTCCATCCCTTTCCTAGATTTTTATTTTCCAAATCAGCAGTTTTCCAAGCAACAGCCAATGAGAACAAAGTTGGAATAGTTAGCTGGTCAGGAGAGAGGGGGAAAGAATGATGTCATTCTAAGTGTTGTTCAGCCTATCTCAGTTCTCCCTCATCTCTGCATCTCTGGAGTCCATCAGAACATCCAGGTCTAGACCAACCATCCTGTTTAAAGCCACAGTTCTTGAGAAAGCAGATCTTTCCACTGAAGAAGAAAAAAGGACAACATTCCTTTTTCTCCTCATGCCTCCCATAATCTTCAGTCTTGCTTATGCAGAACTAATCAAGGCATCAAGGAAGAAGCAGGGAGGCCTTTCATTGACTGCAGGAGCACACATTACATTGTTTAGAGACCCATGTTTCCTAATTGCTCTGCTACTTTTACATGTAAGTCGAAATATTCAAAAACAATTATCATTTTTAACCCTTATGTTATCTTCTAACAATATTTCTAATCTCTGCTATTCTTCATCATATTCAATAGTCAACAAACCAGAAAAAGTAAGCAGACAAACCTATATTCTAGTGAGATTTGAGTACCCCATATGTACCTGAACACTTCATCTAGATGATCAATAAACAGGAAAGGGTGGTCAATCTCATCAGTACCATCAGAGAAACAGAAAACCTATTTAAAGATTTAAAGATCACAATAACAGAGCCATGAAGACTTGCTGCACAAGCATAAGAACCTGAGTTCAAATCTCCAGCACCCACACCAAAGCCAGCCTTAGCTATTCATGCTCTATCCCACACCAGAGAGACACAGAAAAATCACTGGGGCTTGGTGAGTGCCAGGCTAAAGTTCAGTGGGACAGTCTGCCTCGAAGGAGTAAGGTGAGTTGTCAGGACACCCAACATTACCCTCCGGCTTCTCAGGTACGCAAAGGCACATGCACCTGTACACACATATGCCTACGAGAGAGAGAGAGAGGGAGAGAGAGAGAGAGAGAGAGAGAGAGAGAGAGAGAGAAAGAGAGAGAAAGAGAGAGAAAGAGAGAGGGAA